TGAGAAGGGAAAGGGAAGGGAAAAGAGGAGGGGAAGGGAAGGAAAAAGAGGAGGAGATGGGGATGAGGATGAGAAGTGAAAAGGAAGGGGGGAAAAAAGGGAATGGGAATGAGAAGGGGAAGGGAATAGGAAGGAAAAAGAAGGGGAAGGGAATAGGAATGAGAAGGGAAAAGAAAGGAATAATAGAAGGGGAAGGGAATGGGAATAAGAAGGGAAGGAGAAGAGGAAGGGAAAGGAAAGGAAAAAATAATGGGAAGGGGAATGAGAAGGGGAAGGTAAAAAAGGGAATGGGAATGAGAAGGGAAAGGGAAGGGAAAAGAGAAGGGGAAGGGAATGGGGATGAGAAGGGGAAGGGAATGGGGATGAGAAGGGGAAGGGAATGGTAAGGAAAAAGAAGGGGAAGGAAATAGGAATGAGAGGTGAGAAGGGAAAAGAAAGGAATAATAGAAGGGGAAGGGAATGGGAATAAGAAGGGAAGGAGAAGAGGAAGGGAAAGGAAAGGAAAAAATAATGGGAAGGGGAATGAGAAGGGGAAGGTAAAAAAGGGAATGGGAATGAGAAGGGAAAGGGAAGGAAAAAGAGAAGGGGAAGGGAATGGGGATGGAGAGGGAGGGAAAAAGTGTAGGGGAAGGGAAAGGGAATGGAAATGGAAGAAAAAGGGGGAAGGGAAAGGGAATGAGAAGGGAAAAGGAAGGGAGAAGGGAATGAAAAGGGAAAGGAAAGAGAAGGGGAAGGGAATGGGAACGAGAGAGGAAGGGAAGGGAATAAAAAAGAGAAGGGAAAGGGAAGGAAAACCAGAAAGAGAAAGAAGAGGGAAGGGGAGAAGGGCAGAGGTCACCTGGGTGCCCTCGAGCTGGCGGCACGGCGAGCCCTCCCCTGCCCTCTCTGAGCTGTGAGGGGCTCGTTTTCCCCCTCCCTGAGCTGGGGACAACCCAGCTGCTGCTTCATCACCCCCTTCTGAGGCAGGGCTGCCCCTTCCCCACAGGCTCCTGCCAGGGGAACTCCGTGGAGAGGAAGATTTACATCCCCCTGAACAGAACTGCCCCCTGCGTGCGCCTCCTCAACGCCACCCACCAGATCGGCTGCCAGTGTGAGTACAGCCAGGGGCACCCACAGCTGCCCCTCTGAAACCCAGGGGAGCTTTCAGTTGCCCCTGAGGAACAATTTCTTGCCCTGGAGGGTTGCCCAGGGCTGTGCCAGGCTGCCCAGGGCAGTGGTGGAGTCCCCACCCCTGGAGGGGTTCCCAATGTGGGGTGAGGGACACGGGGCAGTGGGGCTCTGGGGAACAGTTGGACTCCTGAGCTTAAAGATCTCTCCCAACCCAAATGATTCTGTTCCAGGGAGGTCTGGGGGGTGGAGGAAATAGATGACTGTGAAACATGAAGGGCTCCCTCTCTTCCCACAGCCTCCATCAGTGGGGACACGGGGGTGATCCATGTAGTTGAGAAGGAGGAAGACCTGAACTGGGTGCTGACCGACGGCCCCCACCCCCCCTACATGGTCGTGCTGGATGGGAACCTCTTCACCAGGTCAGTCTTTATCTTCCCAAGGTGGCTGAAGCCCAGAATAGGGGTGTCTAATGTTTATTTTGTGAGTCTGAGCTCAGAATCCTCAGCCCAGCAGAGCCAGGGAGCTGCTGGAGCGGGGCCAGAGGAGCCCCAGCAATGCCCCGAGGGGGGAACCCCTCTGCTGGGAGCCCAGCAGGAGAGAGTTGGGCTGGGGCAGCTGAGAGGAGAAGGCTCCAGCTGGGGAGAACTGCTGGGGGGGGTTTAATACCTAGAAGAAAGCTGAGGACA